GTGTATGAAGTCAGGTGATTCAATTACGTTGTTGAAATGATGGAGAGCATATTTCAAAAAAGAAGATTTCTACAAGGTTCATAATAAAAATTTTAATTTACAAGATTTGAATCAGAATGGATAATAGATCAGTAAACAAAAAAAATGCGTCAATATATAAAACAAAAAAAGATGATAAAAAAAATCTGTCAATTACTGTTTTGAATTGATTTCTGATACAGATAATCTATTTGTTAGAATAATTTTCTTCCAATAAACCAAAGATTTCCTGTTATATATGTTATACTAACAAATAAATTACAAAAATAAATATCAAGTCAGTTTTTTTTTCTTCATTTTTTTTGAAATAGAAGGAATTAGAAAAAAAATTACTGAAACTTCAAAACTTTATCGAGCATCGAAGGTTTGAAATACTTATTTTATCATCTAAGTATCACTGATCCACATCTCCATGATATCATTTAAATAGGTGAGATCTAAGTGTTTAAGAAAAATTGTGAGTCAAAATCATTGATTGGTTTTGAATTTCAGACACATAGTAATTTTGGGATCCGAAAAGTGTTGAACAATTATAGATGTAAATATTTCTTTTTCATCAAAAGATTTCAAAAATGAAACAAATTTCTTGGAAAATTTTCCAGAGTAAGACAGTTCAATTTTGGTTAGTTCAATTCTGATATAAATTGAATGAAAACAAAATTGGTAAAAGTTCTGTTATACGTGGGAACTCGATTTTGGTCGGTTGATTTTTCTTTTAGCTACACCAATTGAAACAATTTTCATTCCGATTTTGTTTAAAAATTAAAAAAAAAACATGACAGTCATTTAAGTTTTTCCTTATACTTATTCATATTGTAGGGACATTTCATAGCTAGCTCTCAGTCTGGCGCTAACACGTTTTGGTTTCTTAAACCTCCCATTTCGTAAGTAATCTTTTTTTCTCTCTTTTTTTGAGTTGTTGTAGCTGAATTGAAATAACAGACTGTGTTTTGAGATTTGAAGAGAATACATTGTTGGAATGAAACAGCATTCAAAGCTGGCATCCAACGCAAGAAAAAATGTATTTTTCTTGTCGATGTTATCTTCACAATATGCATGTTAGCAATGAGTAACTTCCAAAAAAGATTGACACGCATATTTTGAAGGGAAAAATTTGACTGTCTTTGTAAAACTAGTGGCTTTTGGCTAATGTAAAACATCCGTGAAACACTCAAAAGAGATTGATTCAAAAATCATCAATACAAAATAACGACTACATGGTACTCAATATACAGTAATCATCAATATATACGGTAACAAAAACAATCAGTTTATAGTAACGACTTCATGGGACTTTGCTTGGCTAAAAATTTTTTTGCACAATGAATATAATTTAAAGATAAACGCATGATTAGAAAAATTGATAAATATTTTTAAAATTTTTAAAAGAAGGTTTTTCAATTTTTCTGCTCTGATTATAATTCCGAAAAATTTCAAAAAGTAGTTAACTGATACTAGAAACTGTTATTTTTGGAAATTGATGTATAGCTATAATGAAAAACTCTTGGAGGAAAATGTACTTTAATTTAGTTTACAGACGTGCAAATGATACAGTTTTTTACCTAGAATTTATTTGTTGAGTCAAGTTTTATGTAAATTGTTTTCAGTTAGAAGATAATAGAAAAAACAGAAATTAAGAGAGGGTTTTCAATTTTTGACAAATGTAGTTTTAAGTTCATAGCGTGATATTCAACCAAACTTTTTGCTTGAAAATTTGGTTCCAAACTAAGTTTGCTTAAGAAAGACTCATTCCTAAAATTTTCAAGTCTTAAAAAAGAACAAATTACTTTGAAATTCCTGTTATAGCCAATATACGCCAGTTGTGGTCCACTCAAGTACACAAATTTTACCCCAAAATAACAAAAATGACTCAGAAAGATTAATTATCTGCATGAATTTCTGTCTATTGTATGGTGACCACATTTATTGCGAGAAATAAAATCTGTAACACTTTTAACATTTGAACTAAATTTTTTATCTGAAAAAATTGTGCTTACATCCACTACCTTGCTTGAATACACTAACAGAATTTTTTTTAAAACAATTTTAACTGTCCTTACTCATCGCAGGTAGTGCTGATAACATCTGGTTATGCAAATGCGTCTAAGAAATTTTGTTTATATTCTTGCCTCAATAAAGAAAATCTAAAAAACGGTTATGCTTATAACCACTCCTTGCTTTATAAGAAATTTATCACAATTATAACATGGGGTCTTATAAAATCCATATAGAATCTTAAAAACTAGTGTATTGACAACGTCATACGCCAAAAAACTTTGAAATCTACCATATTACTATCTGAAACTGACCATCTTAAACTTCGAAAAGCATAACCTATCTTAATACATAGGGTGATGCCGGGATAGTCTAAAACCAATTCTAATACTTGGGATTCATCAGCCACCAGGATATTTAGCTACTACATTTACTACTGGGAACCCTGTGTGTCCTCAGGGTCTCCCTCCTAAATCCTTCCAGGCAATTAAGTTGCAGGCAGTTGCATAAGTACAGACAGTTGCAACTTGTAGCAAAATAAAAAAGACGAGCTAATTCTACCATAAACGGAAACCTGAATGCGATAGAATAAATTTTAAACCTCCAAATGTACAAAAGTTATGTAGTCAACCTAAGTGAAATAATTGTAGTAAAATTGTGTACCATGAAGTATATTATTTTAATTTTTCTGTAAGTGCATCTTTTTTTCAAGAAATGGTTCTTTCTACACGCTGTGATTGAGTTTAGTTATAGCGGACACTCTATTGTTTCAATTAAAAAACCCTAAATACTGCTCTTTGACAAAATTGAGCCCCAAAAAACAACCTGAAAATTACCATAGGAAAATCTGAAACCTATAATTTATTGTAATACTCTGGGAAACCTTTTCCTTATATCAATGTTTAGGGTGATGACCGGATGGTCTATAACCTATCTTAATAAATGAGGGTCATCAGCTTCCCGGATTTCTAGCTCCCACATATACTACATGGGACCTTGTGGCTCAACGCGTTTTTCCTCTAAATCTGCAACTGGATCCCGTGTAGTTTCCCTCCTAGTCTTCGAAAATGTCGCCTCCATATGCAATAACATATCTAAGGATATTTGTTGAATCTTGAGTTTATATGTCCGTCTTGTGACTAATTTTGAGAGCCTGTAGTGAATAGCTTTCGAGAATGTAAAGTTTTTAGACTTTGGCAGCAAATTAAGTTTTCTAAAAACTAGTTGCGGACCTGGATTCGTGTTGTTAATTTTATAAATCCTAAAAATTGAGTTGTAGATCTAGTATCTGAAGTTTTTTTCAGTTGCATGACAATGTCAAGACATAGAAATTGAACTAGCCCTGATACAAAAAACAGGAACTTCGAAAACAGGAACCGTAGTGGTTTTTTCTGATTAACTCTTCTTCTTCAGTCAATAATTTTTTTTCTGCTTTGAAAATTGAATTGTTATAGAACACCCGTTTAGGAGCGTGAAACCCTGAATTCTCTGACGGCCCTTTAAGGTCAATTAATAAAAGTTTGACTAGACTGCTCCCCGCACACGCTCTGTAAAACATGGGGATGCTTTTAGCGGCTCGTAATTTAAGTAAGAAATTAAAATGACCTGCCTCTTTACCACTTGGAACGTTACTTTTCACCGCATATTCGTGCTATAAGAACGCAATCCGCATCGAAGCTCCATGGATATTCATCGATTACAATATAATTTTATTGTCAATCTCTTTAATCGATTATGTTCGACTTGAAATTGTAAGAGTGTTACTAGTTTTAAGAGCAAAAAAATTCAATTTGAATCGATCATAATTGTTTATATTGTAATATAAAATTTTTTTCTATAAATAATTTGACCTTTTTAAAGATTTTTTGTTAAAGCATAAAAAGTTTTCTTGGTTTTCTCAAATCACACGACTGTTTATTGATTACACTAACTATTTCATTTTGGTCAGAAATTGTCATATGTTTTTCTTTTTTTCCCCTCAAAATTGTCCTTTATTTTATTTTTCTTATACACTGCCCTTAATTTACCTTAAAAATGTGGGCCTTTTTCAGCGATCGACCTTGAAAATGTAACTTTTGGACCGAAGTAACCCACGAACTTCCTAAAATTGTCATTTCTTGCCTGTTTTCTAGTATTGAGCAATTTATGTTCGAAGCTCGTCGACACCCCTCCCCTTTTTCTGTTTATGCCCGCCTCTCACACTGCCCTCACCAAACTTTCGCCACCTCTTAAAGAAGTGCTAGGGGTGAGTGTGAGGGATAAAGTATAAGAGGGCTTGAATCTGTGCGTTAAAAATGGTCGATGACTGTATAGTTTGTATTTTATCTTAATACATGGGGGTATTCAGCTCCCCGGAATGTCTAGCTCCGACATGGACTACTGTCCCCCTCTGGTAAAACTTGAAGTTTTTACAATGTTGGTTGACCGACTCTAAGAAATTTCTAGGGCGCATTCGGCTCCAATATATAATAACTTCGAGAGAAGAGCGCGCTGAAAAAATGCCTTTTTTCCATCAAAACTTTCCGACAAGTGACTGAAAACGCTTGTCACAAACTCACAGCAGACTTGAAAGTTTGGTCTAAATAGGGTGCTTATAGCGAGGGTGATTAAAGCGAGGGCGTTTTGGGAGAGCTCGGTAAATCAATGTTTTTTGAAAAATTTTAATCTCGCTCATTGTAAAAAAAATTAAAAACCCAGTCTTTTCACCAAATTTGTTTGGCATGATCCCAAACAAATTTGGTGAAAAGACTGGGTTTTTAGTTTTTTTTACAATGAGCGAGATTAAAATTTTTCAAAAAACATGAGGAAAAAACACAACCTATGAAGAAAAGTTTGTAAGATCCACATTTTTATTTCATAGATAACAAATGTTGCTTAATCGCTATCAAAAAGCACCCTCGAAAATTGAATTGCTTGATTTCTACATAACATGTATAAGCCATGCCAATTTCACTTTATCAGACGATTCGGAGAAAACTTATGCAAATACATCCAAATTGGTACATGTTGCAATATTCACAAGGCTCATTCTTGATGTTGCAACATTCTGGACCCAAGCTCTTTTTTGTGTTGCGCTGGCATTGGAGAGATATATTTACATCGTGGAAGGAACTCGAGCAAAGCAAATACTAACTCCGCAACGTCGTTTGAAGTTTTATTCGGGAATCTTAACTCTCAGCCTCTCTGTGCCTGTTTTTGTAGTCTGTGACTTCGCTCTCAACATGAGGCAATATTCGGATGAGGTTTGAAAATTTTTCTTGATGAGGTTCAAATTTAATCCAAGTAGTGAAAAATCAACATCCCGCATCCAGTTTCAAGCGTTAATAATCTGTTATATTATGTTTTAGTACCAGTCTTACTAAAAACTAAGAGAAAATTTGTTTTAATCATTGAAAAATTGATTACTAATCTATGTTTTCAAAATCCAATGATAATTAATTGTGATACATTTTAAACGACTTTACTACGAAACGTTTGTAAAATTTGTTGTTCAGATGAACCAAAAACCAAAACGAGACAAGACATCTCATTTTAGAGATTTTGATTTTGACTGAATGGCTGAACGTTAATCCCTTATTATTGCTTTTTCTTGTGTGATATTATTCTGACAGAAAAATGGATTACAATTTATTATAATAGATAATAAGAGATTTTCAGAAAAATTATAATCATTTATAATTGATTAAATTTGACTAATATGTAACTAAAACTGTTATCAATATTATAGATTATGAATTGTTTAAACATCTAAGTTTTGGCGCTTTTAATTGACTAAAATTTTGATGAAAGTACAATTATAACTGTAATATAATCGATTCATTTCTCTTTTTACTGAGTGCGTGATGAAAAACTTATCACTCAAACAGCCCGAAAGCAGCAAGAGCAGTGAGTAATTCAACCTGGTATCACGCCATTGAGATTTTTATTTTAATTACTATATCATCTAACCCTACCCAGGTCCAGTCATCTTGAAAATTTTCCCAAAATCTTGAAAAATTTTGAAAAATTATCAAAGATAGCAAAGAATCTTGAACAATTTTGGTAAGACTTTTAACCGTCCAAAAATCATGAACACATCTCAGAACCCTTTATGATAGCTCTGCAGCCCCCCCCCCCCCCCCTACCCGCCAAGCGAAAACGATATTTTCTTGAAATCCTCGAAAGTATTTCAGGTTAGTTTAATTTTTTTCATAAACATGATTGCAAACTTTAAGAAGAGGAAAATTGTCAGCAAAAATAGGTATCACTCACAAGAACTGAAGCATGTTTGTCAAGAAATTTATATACTTTTTGGCTTTTTAATATTTTATTGATCAATGATCGTGTTTTTTATGTCCAAAATTTTTTAATGAATTTCCGAAACAGACATCTGGTTCGAAGTTTTGTTGTGTAAAATCAAAACCACTGCAACCAATGTAAGATCCTTTTCATAATTTTGGTGAAATAACAGCTTTGAAATATTTTGAAAATAAAATTATCAGAAAATTTTGAGCAAAAATTAAATGAGTTAAGGAGTAGTTTCGCAACTGTTCTAATTCCATATCAGAGGGTCGCCAGTGCTGATTTTTTCATGAATTTGGTATGAACGAACGCAAGTTGGCTAACGCATGTTCTACTTGCCCCAAAAAATTAGAAATAGGAAAGAAATTGAGCTCTAATAATTCAGTTTTGCATCTTATTGTGTTTTAACGGATTAAGTTTGAAATTAAACGTCGAATTGAAAACCTGCATATTTATTGTCATAATTGATTTATTTCAATGCTTACAATGATTTTTTTTGGGTTTTTCTCTGTGATCCTAAAATATCTTATTTGTATTTTATCAACAAACAATAAATCAAGGTAGACTCAATCAATCAAACATGTATGTTCGAGCTTTTGAATTAGGCTGTCCTAAGACTCATAATGTTCAGTTGAAAGTTATTTAGGTATTAAACTGTTGAAACTAGTTAGAGAAACACATAGTGTCCGTATTCGCAAAGAAGTTAGTTTTTTGTTACTTTGTCATAATTTTTCTTGGGTGTTAATGATCTTACGTAAACTTTGTTTGTCTAGAAAACTTGTTTATCGTACATTTGTCAGGAACTAAAATAGTATGATGCTATAATAAAAAATCATCATCGAATGATAAGTGCAAACAATGCTTTGCTTTTTGTTGTATTATTTTTCCAATCAAGAGATCGTCAAAAGGCATTGCTGCTTGACGAGTGATGTCTCAGTAATCAATCCTTTTTTGTCTTCAAAGATTCTGAGAAAAAAAACATATATTTTCTATCTATTTCCAATTTCAAAACCTACGCAACTTCAGCTAAAAAATTTATTTTTTGCCTTCAAAAAAATTAAGCAAACGCAAAAAGTTATCAAAAGTTTTTTTTGTCCAGCATACGCAAGTCTTTGATATGTTCTCTTAAATGCACTTCATTCAGTACCGAAAAACCATTTATTACCATGTTTATGAAATTTATGACCATGACCGAGAAACTACCATGTTGAGAATAGTTCTGATAAATTTACAAAACTTCTTCTTTTGACTGATATGTAACTTTCGTGCTTTCAAATGTCAACTTCGAATTTTTTTGGTAACTAATTGTTTTTTTTTTCAGATCTGTTTTTATGTTGAAATACACCTCAAAATGATACATTACATCTGCTTATTTTTTAGTTTAGGTGTTTGTTTTAGTAAAAAGGTTTGTTGCTCAGTTTTTTTCCAAAATAAGACCAATCAATTGATTACTTTTTTGTTTCTCATTTCTATGACGCCTATTTAATAAATCTCTATCATTTGATCTTACATTTTAATTTAGTTATTTTTGATCCTCCCATTTAGCGCTCAAACAAGAAAAAGGCTTGTTATACAATTCTATACCAGAAAAACTCTGATCATAATACTCCAATTTTTAAACTTTTGAAAAAAAAATTCATCGATCGAATTCCATAAACGAAAGGTTTTTATACATGATAAATTTTTTCTCATAAAATAAATAACAAATTTTTTTAGTAGATTTTGTAAGGGTAAAACCTTCTTTGATTTCTGAAATCAGCTAAAAATTTCCGGATAAAAAAACAAACTGCAGAATAATTGCAAAAACAGGAGTCCAAACTTATTTTGCTGACAACGCGGTCCACACTCAGTTTTTCAAACACAATCACTGCAAACTACATTCATTTTTTTGTATGCTGCCAATGTTCTTCACTTTTTTGTATTTTTTTGTATTAGAAATGTACTTAATTCTGTCATTTAACAGATCGTGGTTTTCAATCACAACTTTTATTCAACAAGAAAATTTTCTAGCTATAAATGAAAATTTTTTGAAAAAACATGGTGAAGAACAAACTAGTTATTTTGATGTCGAAACTTCGAGAGCAGTTCCTTTTTGCAATTAATGAAGTCTAACCGATGAGTGAATTCTTAAGTTATTGTGTTTTCATTAAATTTCGAGTGAAAATGTTATTGTTTTATAGAAAATAATGCAAGTCATACAACTTCGTTAATGGAAAAACAATATTGACAGAGATTTTTTTTTTACAGTTTATGCAATCATGGAAATGTGTTTTCTGCATGATATACATATATTCGTATTAGAAAATAATAGAATAGGATGTTTTTTTCAACTCAGGAGCTCAACAGAAAAGTTCCTTGCAAATGAGATCAGTATAAGGGTAACTTATTCTGAGCTCATCAATCAAACATCTTTTAATTATTCTTGAATGCAGTTTTTACAAGTTTTCTCAGCAAAGGTTTTCCCTCAAAAACACACAATAAAAAATGGCGCTTCTCTCAACAGTTTTTTTGGAGAAGTAATTTGTAATTATTACGCCAGGTTTTTCAAACAATTTTGCATTTTTCTGATTGACCAGCTGATTCTGATTGACCAGCTAATTGTCTTATATTCTCCAAAACACTGTAGAAACCATTCAAAAAATAAAAATAAATAGAAAAAAAAGTAAAATCTTTTCTGATTGACCAGCTAATTGTCTTATATTCTCCAAAACACTGTAGAAACCCTTCAAAAAATTGAAAAAAATAGAAAAAAAAGTAAATTCGTTTTCAGGGAACAGACTCCATTTTTATAAACGTTACTCAAAACATTTAAAAAAATTTCATCTTTGAAGAACATCAAAAAGGCCAGTTAGCTGCCTACCGAGTAGTGTCCTCATAAGCAAACAACAAAGAAAACAATTAGTTTCCGATTACGAAAAAATATTGGTCCAAAAATAAGATGAAGAACTTAATTTAGACAATTCATTGACAATTCATTGAGTCCTAAATTAAAGGTTTGTCCAAGGCGTAGAAATGATAAAGTAATGATTGAACTCTATTTCTAAGTTTTTTTTTTCTCGCTGTGGCTCGTCTTTGTTTCCGTGTTTTGTAACCTGGATATACACTAGTTATTTGAAAATGCGTAAAAAGTTTACTGATCGGTGATTATTTCATTGACTAGTAAGCATGGGTGCTGCTTCCTTATGATTTTAGTCATTCACTTCAATAGTTCAAATATATGCAACTCCCTGAGGTAACAGCACTTAAACCTGTCTTTTAGTTTAGGGAGATTGAATGTTTTTCGCAAATTAAAGCAATTTTAAAGTATCAGTTTTGTTGTTTCTCAAATTGAATGAGATCACTTTTAGTGGCAGTTCCATATATCAGCAAAGCATATACCGATAAACTGTTTCAAAGTTTGTAAATGATAAGAAGTTGGCTTCGAACAACAGTTTGCCGCAAGTGGTATATAAAGACGCTTTTCGAAATGTTTTTGTAAAAATTTTTTGAATCGAAACTCAGCTTGTCATCCAATTAGAGGCAAAAACATTTTGGGAGCGTTTCTACAATTGAATTGATCATTTGTGTTGATTTTGATCCATCTTCTATGTTTTTTGTTTTATCTTGGTTAAGATTTAATTTGTTTTCAATCAGCCAAAATATAATACTCCCTAAATTGTTTTCCCTTGCGTTTTTGACCATTTTTTCAGTAGATAATAGGCTAAAATCAGCGGCATAAAAGGTTACTTTTGAGTTCACACAAACCTTTGGCAGATTGTTCATTTAAACTGAAAAAAAACCAAAACTGACCCCTGTGAACTTTCATAGGCGACAGGTTTTGAAATAGATTTTGTGGTTTCCACTAATACACCTTGAAATCGATCTTTCAGATACCTTGATATCAGTTTTTCAGCATTCCCCCTTAATCCATAAGCTCTGCATTTATTTACCAGAATTCTATGGTCAACAGTGTCAAAAGTTTTTAAAAAGTCATGCATCGTGCAAGTCATTGTATATTTGTTGCTTAAATATGCATAATACATTCAATTACTTCGGTCATAGTTTCAGTTGTGCCTCGCTTACTACAAAATTCAAACTGTTCGTCAGCTAATATTTCATACGGAAAAAAGTCTATTATTCGTTTGAACTCAATTTTTTCCAGTTTTTCCTGAAGTGTGTGGACTTTATCAAAAAATTTAGTGAATAAAGTTTAGTACTGTAATGAAATTAAATGTACAAAAGTAGATCTCGTAAAATACCAAAAAAGATTAGAATCCCCGCACTACAATTTTACGGAAAAAATTTGATAATAATGGATTACATCGGCAAGAAATTAAATTAAAATCATTTGAGAGAAAATGAGAATTGTTTTAAGGTATCATAGAATCTAATTGTATATAATAGACTATAATCTGATAAAATATAAACAATGTCCAAAAAATCTCAACCAAACAACGCCTTTTAAACTGCCCAAATTTGACTGGTTTTAACGCGTTTTTCCTTCGAATTCACGAATAGTGAAAGCTGATTGGTCGACGTACCCGCACTGAGCGCCCATGGATCATAATTGAATATATTGAAAAAATCTGGGCAGTATCTATAAAATAATGAAACAATCGATTACAATTCATTTAAAAAATGGCTTTTTTTACTTGTTTTTTATGCCAATATATCCCTTATAATAAATTATAGTACACTAAAAATTGATTATAATCGTATTATTTTTTATGCTAATATACTTTATTTTAATCAATTATGATGGTATTTTTCAGGAGGTTAATCATGAAATTTACAACTTTTTTTTCAAAACTAGCTCTACTCAGTAAAATAATCGATTATATTACAATTAAAAAAAATTTTCATCAAAGTTAATTATAAGCGCCAACTTTAGATGTTTTAACTATTTACAAATCTTTTTAAAGATAACATTTTTATATTATTTTTTTTTATAAATGATTATAACTTCTCCGAAAAGCTTTTATAATCTCTTAAAATCTCTTATAACATCTTACAATTTCTTCGAATCTTTTCTAATCTGAAATGACAGATTTTAATTTTTTCATAAGATCCCTTCATAATAGTTGAAAGATTCCTGCGGTAGGTGAAGCAGAACTCTTCCAAAAAAATCATGTAACTAAAGCAGTGTGATGATATTTTGGTGGTCAAAGAAATTTAAAATGTGAGACAAGAAACAACTCTATTCAAGAAAAAATGAAAAATTAATAACGTTACAAAATCAATTTGAATTGAAAACGGTTAAAACCTCTTTCTCAATTCTCACATAAATTAACGTCTACAAAACGCATAAAACATAAGCAATTTAGGTGCAAGCTCGAATAAAAAAGGGAATCAATAGGAGTAGAAACTATTATAATGGATTTTTTCTGCAAAACAAATGGAATAGAACTTCGTATAAAACAATCGATTAAAATGTATTAAGATCATTTTCCACCAAATCTTAGTAAGACTCGCGCTAAAATCAGATTATAATCGATTGTTAACGCTTGAAACTGTATGCATGTAAGCCCGGAGTGGCTTTCTCAGAGCAATTTTGGACGGGGTACACCGTCTGTGGGTCACGCTATCTAAGTTTTGTCATGCTAGCGAAATTTTTGAAATTTAAAATTTTTTCTTCTCTGGCTCAAACTACAATTAGTTTCAGCCTCACAAATAATTGTTATAGTCATGGATCATGATTTGCTAATTCTAATGTTTTTTACAGTGATACACGCACTCAGTAAAAAGAGAAAAAAATCGATTTTATTCAAAGTATAACCGTACTTTTAGCAGAAATATAATTGATTATAAGCATCAATTTTAGATGTTTAAACGAATTATAATCTTTTATAATGATAACATTTTAGTGACATAAAAAAAAATTTAGTCCATTATATATGAAAAAGTTTTTCTGAAAATCTCTTTTTTCATCATCTGTTAGAAGAGATTATAATCCCTTTTTCTATCAAAACATTGCCTCACATAAAAACTAAATACAATGAATTACCATTTAGATATTCAGCGTGAAAACACAGTTTCGAAAGTTTCGTCGAACCATTTTTTTACAGATCGACCAGATAGATTTTCCGAGCTCTGTCAGAGGACCCAAAAGACGAGGCAGAATTTTGAAAAAACAAGCCAGAAAATTCGTTTTTAGGCATTTTTTGGAAAATTTTGACCAAAAATTGTTTTTTTTTCTGGCGCGTAATCCACCCTGAAATTTAGCATATTTGGCGCTGAGGGCGCCTTTAGACAATTTTTGGGCTCTATCACCAAAAATGGATATATCAAGATAGTTCTAAGGTGGGACCTTTTGGGTCAGCATGGGATCAAATCCGTGAGGGGAAGGGCGTGTCGCCCTCTCCCCCTAAATCAGCCTCTAGGTATAAATACAAAACTACACTTTTTTAAAGTTTGGTAACCAACTGAAAAGCACACAATACAAAACAAAAATAAAACGAATTGAAGTGATGACGTTTGTTCAATAATGATGGATTATTATCCATTATAATGAACTATAACTCATTAAAATTGAGAAAAAAATACAAAACATAATCGATTATAATAAATTATAGTCGGTTATAATGATTTTTATTGTTTCGAAAAATAGTTATTTTATAATCCATTTTTAATCAATTTTTTTTGAAATTTTTGGAGACTGACTATAAAAATTCATTATAATCTGTTTTTTTTTCTTTTACTGAGTGCGCGTATCTCGCTTACTGTTTATTGCAGTCGCTACGTATTACGTTTCGTAAAATACCTTCTATTACATTTCACATTAAAACTTATATGCTTTTTTGACTTTTTCAATTAATTTAAGCTTACACTCCCCTTTTCTTTACCCCCTCCCGTTTACTCCCCTCAATGCCAGTTTGCCACAAGCGCCATCCCCCCCTTAGGGGATTTTTATTGGTCTGAGTTTTACATCTTTAAATGGTTACATTGTTAATTCTGTCTCGGGAATACCTTATAACCGATTAGACTCCATGAGCGCTCGGCGCGGTAAAATAATTTGGAGGCCAAACTGTGCACTGGATAGGCGCACATTATGGTGTCTCTGGAATTCGGATAAAATCATGAAACATGTTGGATTTTCGTTGGTAAGATCAAAGGAAACGAAAGGACAAAAGAAGAACAAACGGAGCTTTCTTGTTGCGGAATGCGCTCACGATTCACAAAGAAATACACAGTTTGGCCTCGTAATGTTTCGAGCATTCGGTCCTTTGCTTATCAAGAATGCCCCACCCCTCCCCCCCTTTAAAAGCTTTGATGCAATCTATGGTTAATTCTGTCTTTTAACTGACTGCGTTATAGGACGTTGATCAAATTCCTACACTCCAGGGCAATGGGATTTCTGAATGCCCAGAATGTATTCGATTCAAGATACAAAACTTTGCACCCTTAGGACTTATCACATGTGTGATCACATTAGTCATTTGCTCTTTTCTGTACGTGAAAAGTGCACTGGTTTTGCGAAAGTCTTCAATACAAAGAGCTGGGCTACTGACTAAAGCTTTTGCAGCTATTCTTGTCGCATGGGTTTTCATGGTTTGGCCTCACATTATTTTCGTGGACTTCTTTCTCAAAGGGCAACAACCAAACTTACCTGTGTTGTTGAAAAAAGGTCCTGGTTCGATTTCGGGGACAATCGTTTAGCAGACCAATTTATATGGAAAAACTTTTCCCTGATAAAATTTTATTGTTATTTGAAAAAAAAAATAACAAAGAGCATTCAAACCAAATTCATGTTACAAGATTATGGGTAGAAAATAATTAGAACAACATAGACCCAAAACGCTTCATTGATCACATCAAATGATTCATCGCTGAATTTTTCTGAAATCAGTACCCGGGTTGAGTTCCCAGACTCATGTCCAGACTTTGTGGGTCGCGCGGCATCCGGATTCAGATTCCAATTTGCATAGTTTCTTCGAGAGCCATGAGTTTTCGAGATCCGTGGGTCGCGAAAGTCTGGCCATACCAAGATTTGGACATACGAAAACTCTGAACATGGGCCGCGAAAGTCGCGAAAAACGCGCGAAACTATGTCCAGACTTTCCAGGCTTAAACTCTCGGCATGACTATGCAATCAGGGTCTGAATACTGCTGCGGCGCGGCTTTTGCGACCCTCGGCGCGAATAGATGTCCAGACTTTCCAAATTAAAATACTCGGCGCGACTAAGCAACTTGGTCTGAATTCGGCGCGAATTTAAAGACAAAAAACAAAGATTGCACAGAATCTCCAAGATTTTTCAAATATTTTTAAAAAAACTTTCGCGAGCGCGTAAAAGCTGTTCAAGTTATACCTCTTTTCTGGGTCGCGCCGTCTCCGTCTAGGTCTGGAAAGTCGCGCCGTCTCCATATTGATCGTGAAAAATTCGATAGATTTTTTCTGGGTCGCGCCTTCTCCGCCTCGGTCTGGAAATTTGTGTGCGCCGTCTCCACCTTATTTATGAAAATCGAGCTATCTCCACCCTGGTCCCGAATTTGGCGCCGTTTCTACATCGGTCGCGAAGGTCGTGTTTCTTGGTCGTGCTGTCTTTGTCTTGCTCTGGAATTTAGCGTCGTCTACGCCTTGGTTTGAAAAGTCCGAGTTTTTTGGTCAAGAATGTCTGTAAATGGCAAAGTTTGGTCGCGAACGTCTGGAAAAACCAAGTATGGGACGCAATATTTCGGTCGCGCCATCTCCGTCTCGGTCGCGACAGTCATCGCAAATAAATGGAAATGGCACAAATAGTTATGTCGTCGCAATATGGAAATGGCGCAAATGACAATCGTCGCAAATAAATATAAAAGTTTCGGTCGCGAAAATCTGGACAAGCTTAAATTTGTTTGCCAAAGTCTAGTTATGCCAAAAGATTATCACGAAAGTTTGGTCACTTGGGTAAAAATCCATATTGGTAACGAAAGGAAAATTTGGATAGTAATCGGTTTTTTAATAATGATTAGTCTGCTAAAACGATAGTCTGCTTTTTATTGTCATGCTTTTTCACCCTGAAAAAAAAACAAACATTTAATATTTATAACAAAAACTGACATTTTTGGATATAAAATAGTTGGATAAGAAAGTTTGAATCTAATTTACTGAAATTCGTTCTAAAAGATAGTCAAACGGAAACCTAGATTGTGATAAGCAACGCGGCTGAAACAAAGCAACGCGGCTGAAACATTTCCATATTTTGAATCTTTTGCTTCTGAAGATAATAAAAGCTGAGTTCAAACGCAATTCAGACATTTAGTTTCAGACCGAAGCCCTAAGTTTGATATAAAGAATGTGACTGTCGGAGCTTGTGGTATCAAAAGAAAAAACTTTATCAACAAAAAATTTTTTTTAAAGAAAATTAGAATGGTGAAAAATTTCACATCTACTTGAAATTTAATTTGATTATCTTTCATAAATTAGTCTAATTGAAACAGCTCCGGATTTGTTTGTTTCTTTACGGGCTCTTTTCCACTCCCTCCCCACAACTGATTTTCAATTTGGAAAAATAGTTCAACGTTATTACAATGCAATTACATTTTGCATGGTGGAACAAATAAAACTTACATAGTAAAATCGTGCATTTACGCGAAATAAAAAGTTAAATTACTATTTTAAAAAACATTAGAAGTTGCCATTGTAAAAAGATAAAAAGTGACCATTGATTTGGAAAAATACAGAAATTTGTGCGAACTAAAAACCCCTAAGATTTTACAAAAAGGACCACAGCCAAAACTTCGTTCCAATGGACCTCAGCCTTTATTAAAACATGATATAAAACTCGAAGTACAAATATATATATATATATATATATATATATATATGGGAGCGCTCAGAAAGTCAATTTGGTCAATCAAATAAAAAATCGACCAAATTTTTGAACTTTTTTTGAAAATCCTCTCCCCTCCCCCTGAAGAAAATCATAGATAATAATCCCTGTATACCGTATACCATGCACCAAGACCCTGTATATGAGCAGCTCTGACCCCCATTATCATCTGCTTCGCCTGGAAACCGTCTCAAGCCCAATTTTTGCGTCATCTCTTTTGAAAATGGAAAAATCAGCCTATTTGAAGAAGTTCACCTTTAAACAGACAGAACAGTGTTTATATCGGTATGGCGGTGTGATTGAAACTTGCATGTTGGAAAAACTTCTAAAGTTTTGGGCTTTTTTCCCTTCTCACTCCACCTGCAATTTTTTACAAGTAAAGTTACTGTTCATATTGTCCGATAGTTATGAAAATTTACATGCGGACTAACTAAGCTGTGCCAAACATATTTGGTGTTCGTAATTAACCCTGTAGAATCACTCATTACAACCATAAAATCGATGGTCTTGTGAGGTAGGGGGAAGGAAAAAGAGCCAATTTTTGCCCCCGTTCAATCTAAAACAAAAAACTTTCGAGCGGAAAAGCGCAACACGAGAATTAGTAAATTGACTAAATTTATTGAATAATTTTAGAGCCTCATTAAATTGCCACCTTCGCTGTGCTTTAACTTGAAACTAAAAATTTCAAACTCTTTATTCATCCCCAGATTCAAAGATTGCCCCATAAAGTTAAAGAAAAAATCAAATTCCAGCTATCTTGGTAGTTATGAGCTCAGGCACAGACATGTAAAGATGATTAAAAAAAACTTATTTTTAAATTGGTTAACTAATAGTCAAAATGTGCTCGAAAAAAAACCCGACCAATTCTGTCTTTTTCTTTAAAAATGTTTAAAAAAATAGTATTTTCTATGATTTTGTAGTTTCGAATATGGTATGATATCAGATAATGCTTCATGTCTAGCATAGGAAAGAAAATGAAGTTCTTAAGTTACTATTTCTATCTATGACAATGAAACGCTATGTTTAATGACTTACAGTTGGGAGCAGGATGGGAGTTCTTGATCGGTTCTCGTCTATTCTTTTTGGCTTCTCAATGGAAAATGAAATCGAAGAGTATACTAAACTATACAGAATGGATATCATTTTACGTGGGCTTCGTCTCAGTTATGGCATGGTGAACACTATTATTGTTTTCATTCTGATGAAGCCGTTGCAAAAGCCAGCTATTGAGTTGAAAAACTGGCTCAAAAAAAAGTTAGGGATGAAAAACTGATCCCTGAAGCAATGAAGGTGTACCCGATTTCTGGACACAGAATGTTACGACCACACTGATGCAAATTTTGAAATTACCAGTATTTTTTTTAAAATACCGATTTCATAGGCGTGGGATACTAGCGTTCAACAATATCGAATTAAAACAAAGCCAAAAGTAAAATGACATTCAAAAATGCCGAAAATTGATGACTTCGGCACTTTTGAACAACATTTTTTTTCGATACTGTTGTACCTTGGCACGGCACTGTTGTTCTGCTCTTTGAATTGGATGAAAGTTAAAAAAACCAAAACTTAGTCAAAAAGCATTTGCGGTCAGTTCTCAACAGAATGAAGGAAGTAATTAGACTCAGTATATCAAAAACATGTGAAACTTATCCTTTGTATTAAGAAAAACGAATATATATTCTAGTTAGAATTTTAGTCAACGCGGCAATGGTGTCAACTTGTTAATTCTAATATAAAATTTCTTTTCGTGCAGTTCCATTCAGGGTAGGTAGTTGGATAAAGTAAGAAACCAAGCCAACTGTACCGGCAAGAGAACTAAAAAGGGTGGGCAGTGTGGGAGTGTTGATGACAGCAGACCTTAATAAATTTTCAGTATTTCATTTGAGAGAAAGGATGTAGTCTCTTACAGAGGATGCCTGAACATGGGTCGTTACACAAAGTCTGATATCTAAAAAACATAGAAGATTACTTAAGTAAATGGCTGATTCTGATTGCTAAGATGATTGAATTTGTCTCTTGAAAGCTGAAATAATTGAATTGTTTATTAATTTAAATAAGTTTTCATTCTTTTGACTAATGTTTTTGACACATGCGTCAAAGTAATGTTAGAATAGCTCGGCTCATGTGCTGGTTTTAAAACGAGTCGGTTATGTATGAGACATCGGTTGTCGTCGGTAGTAGCCGTAATAGTCAATGAGTTGTACGTTATCTATCTTTAAGTTTGTTGAGTGTGTCGTAAATAGTGCGCGTCTATCCGGCTTCTCGCTTTAAAACAAAACGTTCCAGGAAACGTCTGATCCAGGAAACGATCGGAGTAGCCGTCCCAGGGGCCAAAAGCCTAGTGCTCGAGGTCTTCGAAATCCAGAATAGGTCTCCTATTTTTGAGTTCTCGGCCATTTTCTTCGTTGATTGGGAGTCACCAGGTAATCTCGCAGAAGGCATTTCACGATATGTTAGATGAGGCCGTGAGCTTGTTTTCATGGTATCTAGTTCGTTAGGTGTCGTGGTTGAAACAATCTAGGTGGCAGGTTCGCAGATGGTTGTCCAAACAGAACATTATTGGGTGGGTTGTAGGAGGGTCCAAGTCCATGGGGTTGGATGAAACGATTGTCAGGGGCAAGAGCTCATGACCGCTTCTACTTTGCAGGCGAATATAGACAAAGTTTTCGTTATTGAGGATTCGTGATTAAATTGCCTTCTAAATTGAGGGTTCTAAATTGATTGCCTTCTAAATTGAGGGAACTAAATTGAGGGTTCGTATTAAGTTTCAGCCAATTCAGCACCAAACCGTATTTGCGCTTTAGAGGACTGTTCTGATTGCAATACCGCTTCTTTTGTCAGGTCCTGTGCCTTTTCCTTGCTGTTTTTTTTGTCCAGGAATCCTAAGTTTCCAGCTTTTAGTATCTCTATTGTCTATTAACTTTTCGTTGTTGTTAATTTTGTCTCAACGATTTTTCGATAGTTTTTAAAAATCTCGTATCAACTTGCTTTGCCACAGGGTGGGGGACTTTGTTCAAACCTATTTAAAATAATTGAGTAAAAACAGTTTAAAACAGAGAATAAAAAAAATTGTTTAAATCAAAAAGGGGAAAAAACAAAGTTTTCGGATTTTGTGGTCTTGAGCGACAGTTTCGACCTCTTCAATAGATGAAGAAAAAATAGGGAAAATGGCTTTCCTGGATATTGTTGAGTTGAATTCTTAATGATACCATTGTCTCCATGTTTTACTTCTGAGTAATTTCGAAGAAAGTATCAGAAATTGGGACTTTTTGAAAAAAATATTAATAACAAAAATTAATTTTTTACGTTTAAAACATGTTGTAATGTATAATTGGATTTAAAAATATTTCATACCACCTTCCTGCTTTGCCGATGGTGACCCGATTTCTTGCCAAGCATCGAAATGTTCTTTTTGAAGACTATTTTTTACTTTGCCTCTGTTCTTTTTGCTTCCTGTTAGTTTGATGATAATTGTTAATGGTGCCATTTGAATAGTGTTAATGGTGCCTGTTGTGTTTTAATGGGCTGGCATTTCGCTCAGATATTTTTGCTCGAGTTTGGTTTCTTTTTGATTACATTTTCTGGCCGCAGTTTTCATATTGTTTTGCGTTCTATGGTCGAATACAGATCACATTTTCTCTTCAATACATGATGATTCTCCGACAAGCTCTTCGATTCGTATTTGAATTCTCTTTTTTTCAGTTCTCTGTCAGCTTTCCTGTTCCGGTTTATTGTCTGAATAGATTTGGTGTTTTCTCTGTCGCTTCGGTTCGTCTCTGCTCCCATCATTACTTGACGGTTTTTCTAGGTCCCTCGATACCAGCTACTCTATGCTCGAAGAAACCTTATAGCATTCATGCGAAACAGTTGTAAAAAGTAGCAAACAGCTGTAGCATTCAAATACTTAGATAAATAAACAATGAAGACATTTTGTACATATGAAAACACTACAAGTCTATTGAAATCAAAAACTTATTATTGAAAGTTCGAGTTCGAATGCATAAAGCAGTGCCTTTGGATTTAAACTGGCTGTAACAGATTTAAAAGACAAAAAAATCCAGTATGTTTTGTTACAGATACAAAATTTAGACCACGAAGTTTATCATATTTGTGGTAACCCGAAGATCGATCCATAACTTTAGAACTAAAGCAGTGAAGTTCAATTGTTTGAATTCCAAAAGTTCAACTATTTTATTGGTTTCGATTTGATCGACTGGCTTAATTCCATACATGCGTAAGGCGAATTAAAGTGAACAATAATCAACTTTATAACAGCACCTCTGATCTTGACTAAAAACAGATAAAAATATCAATAACAAAATTACATAGCACCTGTGATACACGTAATTGCAACTGCAGTAGTAAAAGTTACGTTTTAGCTCAAGGTTTCTGCAACCGCAGTACAAAACTCCCCTGAGAACCAAAAATGAACCATACATTTTTAAAAATATAATACAACATGGTGTGTGTTTTAATACTCAGTTTGATAGATAGGTGCACGCAATGAAATTCTCAAGGTGCACTCAAGGTCCTGGAAATATCCAGTGCTACATATCCAAACTTCCGACGAAACAAGTGCCTCTCCAGGAGTCCCAGACTTGTTTTCACTGGCTTGTCTGTTTGTGTTTTAAAATAAGCCAACTTTTGTCGATATGCCTCCAAGACAATTTTGTTTAGATCAGCGATGTCTTCGTCGGTGCTATTTTTTAATGAGTGCTTTTTCGGGCTGCCTATTCGATAAGGCCCTGGTTCTTAATGGCTCGCTTGCTTCGGCGCACTTTGGATGCTGTCTGATCTTCCACACTCGACTCTTCAGAGTATCCTGGTGGACTACTGAGTCACCCCGCGGTATGGTATTCCCATGTCTCGTTGGCTTTTAGTAATTCCTTCGCCACCTCTGAATTCCCCTCGTTAAAAGGTGATCTACTAATTGTTCCCTCTCTTCCGGACAGATGTGGGGGTGGGCGAGGGTGCTAGTTAAAAATGCTAGTTATACAATTTCATTCAATGATAGCGTTTTTTTTCAACCGACTCCAACCCCTCCATCCCCCGCTCTCCTTCCAACGGTTACTTCTCCTTTCCATCACACATCCAAATTAAATTTTGTTGCCGCCATCAAAAAATGCTAGTCATACAATTTCATTCAATGATAGCGTTTTTTTTTTTGATAAAAGTTTTTTGTTTTTACTCATGATGATACACTGCCTCTTATGCCAATACATGCGAAAAATTCTTTGAAAATTTGATGACTTCAGTTTAACAAAACATATAAAGTTTGTTTGATTAGTTTTTTTCATAGACTTAATTTATCGAATTGTATGATTAGCCGTTTTGGTCTATGAAGGTCAAAATGGGTAGTTAGGTTGAATGGATGCTCATTTTATTACCTGCAAGTAAAATCTACATGTTTAAACACCATTTTATAGCAAGGTTTTTTGGGATCATTTGAAAATCGTGTAATTTTCAAAAAAAAATCTTCGACTCAAACCTTACTATAAAATGGTCTGTTCAAGTCATTATGAGCATTATAAGAAATAACTAAATGAAAAGTCCGACAAGGTTGACAGCAGCACATATAGCTTTTCGAAATTATGCTAGTATACTTTTTTTGGCTACAGACTGAGGTAGCCGTCCCCCAAAGAACTTCTTTTGTAGTTTTTAAATTCGGTTTTAAAAATAACCGTTCTAGGCAATATACAACGAGAGTGGTCGTAACAACAAGAAAAACGATCTTGCCCGATACTATTTGTGTTATACCCGATTCTTTTCATTGAATAAGCCACCAATCCGAAATGTCTCATTAATTATTTTATGTTAATAAAAAGAATGCAAACTTTTTCCGTTTTTGCTGCTCAATCTCATTTTGTTGTTCAATCTCATTTCCTAAAATAATCTTTATTTTGGAAAACCGCAGATTAGTTTTCTCATTTTGAGCATAGCTTCTATCGTTTTTGGTAAACGATAACCATGATAACCATGGTAATCATACTGTTCAAATGATAACCATAATAACCATTCTGTTCAAATGATAACCATGTTGTTCGCAATTTGGGTTTCAAAAATCATTCAGTTGTCTCCTTTGCAAAAAAATTTGGCAACTCAGGCAGGCATCAATTCAGCTATTAGAAACGCTAGTCATCATTGTAGGAAAAATTTGAATTGTAATCAACATATGCAGGGGCGGATCTAGGATTTTCTCGAGGGGGGGGGGCATTTTTTTGAAAAGAAATCAAAAATTTTGATGACTTTTTTTAGGCCGACCAAATTGATTATTTGAGCTCTCCCAAAGCACTGTTTTGGCCCGTATTTTGGCAAAATTTATCTGCGCGGCAAGCAATTTTTTTGCAAAAACAGCCAAGCGTTTTTAGCCACTTTTTGGAAAATTAAGACTAAAAAATTGCGTTTTTTCGGCGCGCGCTCCCCCCTCAAAATTAGTAAACATTGGCGCCAAAGGCGCCTTTAGAAAAATTTTAGGGTCGGTCGGCCAAAAGTGGATTTCTTAAAAAGTACCAAACGGGGCACCCTTTGCGTCGGCAGGGTGTCCAATCCCTTAGGGGTGGGGGGGGGGGGGGTGAAGGGGCGTCCGACCCCCCAGCCTCCCCCCCATAAATCCCCCTGAACATATGTTTTTTGTCTGGGTCTGAACAGAGTATATGGTCCACTCATTCATTTTAAAAACAAAGTATGAACAGGGTATTTGTCATTTTTCAAAAACATCTAAATAGCATACCTAATGTTTATTTTGACATTTTAATCAAGCTATTCAGCAACAACTTGTTTTGTTTTCACTTCGACTGCCTTTTTTGTTTCGGATTTTGAAGAATGTGAAAGAATATTTGTGCACGGGGTAATTTTTTTTACCTCCAGACTTTTTACCTAGCACAATTTGAGACCAAATTTTTTTGTTTAATCCGAATGATATTGGTGTCGTGGTCTTTAAATTAGCAAGGTGTTTCAACCGTGATCTTTTTTCGTAAAGTTCTATAGGTTTAATTTTTGTATATTTATAATTGAGACAATCAATGCCCGATGTGTTTCGGGCTATTAAAGAGTCAGCCGAGATTTTATCCGTCTGAGAAATCGTTCCAGATTGAATTGAGTCGAATTTTCATCTTTCCTCAGAACATTCTGAAGTAGTTTGAAGCATTTTTTTTTTCAATTCAAATGGGGATAATTAATGCTCATTATATTTAGTCGCATTGAAGCGTACTCGGCAAACAAATAAATCATTCAAAACTACATCGAGATCAGCAATTTGGTTTGAAAGGTTGGGATACGCTTAATGAATACTTTTGTGTTTCTTATAGCGTTTGGGGTTACTGGGAAAAAAAAGGAAAAAAAATCCGTGTTCTTCTTGATTGTTTTTTTTTTGGTGACATAAAGCATTAATTTATTTCAGCGTTACAGAGTAGTCGAAATCTTCGTTGTTTTACCCTCATAAGCCAGCAGTTTCGATAGTTTATTGTTTTATTTATACCTGCTCAATTAGTCTTAAGCTTTTAGTGATGCATTTAGAGACCTATGTCCAATCAAGAGTTTTGTTTATGAAGCAAAAATTTTGCTATCTGGATTTTAAAACATTGTTTTTTCTTGTAACTCACGGACAACTTACAACAATGTGCAAACATTAAGGAAGATTTTTCATTTAATGCGTCTATTAGGCATTTCTAATAAGGTTAATTATCTAAAACTTTCAGTTTCTGATAGGCTTGAATCATTTTGATCTTTCCTAAAGACATTCAGAAATAGTTTGAAGAGTGTTCATTTTTTCGAATCGAATTTGGATACTCTCACGCTATATACTTAGTCTTTTTCAAGTGTCTTCGGCAAATATAATCTTTAAAACTGAATCGAGATCAGATGGTCTTAAAAAGTTATGATACGCTAACTAATCGCTTTTTGTTTTACTCAGCGTATGGTAAAAACTTTGATTTTTGGTAATAATATTTTTGGTGTAATTCACGGAGAATTCACAAAAGTTTGCAAAGGTTACGAAAGATTTTTTATAATCTATAGTGTGTTTCAAATGGTCTGTTGTTTTCACGAACTTTCATCACTGTTAATCCGTTTGACTTCAAAATTGGAGAGAATATGCATTACTGACGGATATTTGATTTAAAACCAAAACTGCATTGCTTAGACAGCGTTATACAGCATTTTGATTATCATCGCAAAAAAGTTCCAAGAGCCCGCATATCAGCATCATCATCCCAGAGCCAGGATCTTAACATTCGATGTTTGGCTGTGGGTTGCTTCGGAAAAATTGTAAATGGGCAAACCCAGGAACTCATTCAAACATTCAAAAATGCTAGCAGTATGTTAGTGGCACAGAGTTTTGAGGATTCATTGAAAAACTTGATAGAAAGATTTTTAGTCTGTGTGGCGAAAATGGCAGAAAATTCCAAAACTTTATAAATCATTTCAGGTATTAAAATTTTTGTCAGTTGACTATCTTTCGTAGAAAAAATTGTTTATCTATCTTCTCTGAAAAGTTATAGCGTTTTGGAAGTTAACAGTTTATTTGAAACAACCTGCTATTTTTGGATTTTCAGTATCTATGGAAATCAGTTAGCTCAAACTTTCAGTTTCTCTGTAGATTGTTTGAGCTTTGGATCTTTCCTAAAAGCATGTTTGAAGCCTATTCACTTTTTGCAACCTGTTTAAGCTCAGATGAGAATCATAAAAAACAACATGATGTTTCAGCGACTCATACTTATCGGCTTTTTTTCAGCTTTTTGTCGGACGATTTTACCATTCGTAGGTTTCCAAAACTTAAGAAAACTGGCTGAAAAAAATGGAAGCAGCCGTCAAGACTATGCTTCGATTTAATTTTTTATTTTTTCAAAAAAAAATAGCTACGGAATTAAGTTCGAGTTTTTTTGCTAATGAGAGTGGTTTGCTGTACTCAACAATGGCGATGAGACAATTCGAGTACGTCAATGAGACAAATAGTCAATTTCGAGGTCGTCAAAATGTTTTCAAACTAACGTCTGTCTCAAATGACAGCCTTCTTTGCTATCAATTCTATAATAACAACCAATTAAAAATTAGCAGAAGTTTAATCAGACAAAATGGAAATCTTATAACGTTGAATTTTTTCAAAAGAGCAATTTGCCAATTTTGAGTGTTGTTTGCTCGTAGAAAGCGTTTTTTGGCGACTTTGAACCATATGTTCTTTGTCTGATAGCTAGTAGCTTTTTTGTGCAAATACTTTTTTGAATTATGTCAGTTTTGTCAAATATTGTTTGGCAGACTCACTATTATGAGTCTCATACAACTTTTTTTCGACCCGTACCAATACTTTCCATGAAAACCAGACCTGTTCATCCTTTCGACAAATTCGAGGTACCCCAAAGGTCTGGACATACAGAAAAAACATACAACTTGCAATGGAAACCAACTCGCAATAATAAACAAATCTCATCAAAAGGAAACTCTCAATATACTCCCGCATCTAAGAAAAGTGAAAAAAAATTGATTATAAAGGGTTTTTGGTCTAAAATATTGTCAAAATAATCGATTCCAATGTTAGGCTTAGAGAACAAAATTGGACAAAAATGGATTTAGTTTAGGTTGCGGATGGCGATGTAAGGGTAGAAAGGGGGCAAAGGGGCAAACATTGGAGGGGATAGAAGCGGGCAATTGTTGAAAAAAAAAATCATCTTTTGAGTAACATAAAAGAAAAACAAAATTATCATGACTTTAAAATAATCAAAACAACCAACTTTAGTTTAAAAGTTGAAAAAACTTTATGAGCGTTGAAGTTCGCATCTCAAGAAAATGAAGAAAAATCGATTATAATTGAATTTTTTTGTCAGTGTCTGCAAAAGAAGAAAAAAATTGATTATAAGGGATTAAAAATAATCATATAAAAATTATGTAATCTATTTTTATTTGAATATTATTGGTTTTTTTTTCAATTTTGAAGACACTGACTTTGAAACACAATTATAATCGACTTTTTTTCTTGGAACTTGAACGCGGGGCAAAAAATGAGTAATGAGAAATCTTTGCAAAGTGAATTTACGGCCTTCTCCGTTTCTAAACCTGAACTCAAATTGCAAACTCCAATTTAAACTCCAATTATATTAATCATATGTTATCAGAGCTACATATAATGATATCAACACACATAATATGAAATTCTGTGAATATAACATTTTTCCTGTATGAGGTCATCTCGTTATCCCGGGTTGACCTCCATAGACTGAAAATACTAATCATACAATTTCATACACTTAACTTGGTCTATGGAAAAATGCTACCCTAGTCGATCAAGGGAGGTTATCTTGCAAGATCTTGCAAGATTCTTGCAAAAGAGGGTTATCTTGCAAGATCTTGCAAGATGGAGGTTATCTTGCAAGATCTTGCAAGATGGAGGTTATCTTGCAAGAATCTTGAAAGAGGGAGGCTATCTTGCAAGAATCTTGCAAGAATCTTGCAAGATAACCATCCCAAAATTTCTGTCGAGAAAAAATAACAGAAATTAGGTCTAAGATCAAAAAAATTGTTTCTAGAACGAGAATCCAGAACTTTTTCGAATTGATCTCAAAAATTTACTTGCATCACTTCAAATAAATGCTTAACGAATAAAATTAGACAAAAATCATGCGTTAAAAAGTAGTCGCATATTTGTTGTTAATTTATTCAATGAGATTAAAAGTATCAACCAATCAAATCTTTTTAATTTATTCGCAATTATTGCGGCTACTGGTTTGCGAAAATTGAAGGATTATTGGCCAAAAAATTTTTGTGACGAATTGCTTTAATTAGTTTAAACCGGGGATATTTAGTTTTTTCG